AAAAAAAAAAAAAAAAAAAAAGACTGAGTTTGAAATTTTTTGCTTTCTTACCACTGCTTTCCACTTGCATCAATTTATTTTAGCATTATTCATTATTCTTCACTCCAACAAATATTCACATAAACTTTGTCATATTATTTATTTATTTGGCTTTCTTTTTTTTCAGGATTGAAAGATACATACAAATAAGGGGCGAGAAGAAAGATGATTCTTTGTTTTGCGAAAAACATCAGTATTTTTAAGTTGGTAAAATCAGTAATTAGCTGAAGCTGAAAAAAACAAAAACTATAGCAAGCAACAACTATCACTCATAATAACTGCCCTCACGTCGATGATATACTGCGATAGTCTTTGAAAAAAATAGAACTGAACAAACTAAAGCTTATTATGAAGTTTTCTTGTGGAAATGCCTAATCAACAATTTTACAAAATATATTCTCCATTATCATCCGAAAAAAAAAATGAAAAGAAAAAATCTTGGAATAAACAACAAACTTCCCAGTAGTTTCCATAGGTTTTTTTTTTCAACGTTTATCTTTTCTTTCCAACTAAAACAAACAATTTTTTTTTGCACTAACTACCTCTGCGAAAAGAATCTTTCTTTTTCACCAGCTAAATATTTGTCATAAATTTATACCAGACAAATTTCTAGTCTAAATTACAGTCCAATACTTCAGCCTGATTGACATTGTCAAGGTGAATAAACTCTTTGATGTTGCAAAAACAAAGAGAGAGAAGGCGTGAAAAATGAGAAATTGCTGATATAGCTAGCTGGTAGCTTAGATAGAAGTTGGAATCACAAAAATGAAGACAGTAGACGAAAGTAATAAGAACAAAATGGTCTTGGGTTAGAGTACGGTTCTTCACTAAAGTATAATTACAAAGAAGTGATTTCCTTCACTTTCTGAAACTTTTTTCACTTTTTCTTCCCTGGTGACAATAAGGAGTTATTCGTCAGGCTGAAACCGCTAAAATACACAGCACAGAACATGCAATACAAAAAAAAAAGTGATAAAATAAAATCAAATTTTGAAACTTTTTGCATTGCACACAAAATAATAATTCAGAGAAAAAGATGGAAGCTGAAATGGTTTTTTAAGATTAAAGTGCCAACCTGTTTTACCCGAAGTACTCCAACATTTTCACCACTGGTTTCGCTTTCTGTTGTCATGTAAAAGTATTTGTGTTCTTCAGTCAACGAATACTCAAATACATTATCCCTGTAATGTCAGAAGTCAGAAAAAAAAATTTATTTCATGCCGAATTTATAGCCATCAGCGTCTTAAAATTCCTTAAATGCTTAGATGAAAGGCGTAGCGTTACAGTCTGACAGCCAAAAGTTCTTGGGCAACAGTAACGGTATTTGTTTCCAAACAACAGAAAGAATTTTAAAAAAGATAAAAACGAGATATTTTAGTGTAGGTTTTAAAACAAGTATTTTTAACAAGCAGAGAAGTTGAAATTTTGCTGTATCCACCTAGCTTCAGTATCATTGTCCATTGCTTTAATGCTCATTACAGCAGTACCAACTGGAACCGTTTCAAGTACGTTACCATCGTAGTATTGTTGTGGAAAGTATGGAGGATTATCGTTGACATCAAGCACTCGAATCGTCACATTACCGGTACCTAACAAATACAGTTCTTCTTAAAAACTAGTCTCCGGTGGTCAGCACTAGAAATTTTTTCACAAAAAATGCTATCAAAACAAAACTTTACATATGCGTATTTCTTCATTTTTTCTGATTCTAGCTAAAAGAATTTAGAAGAAGCAATGTCTAAGAATATGTTTTCTGCACTATACCTTCCTTTTTTGGGTATCCATGATCAGAAGCTCTAACTTGAATTAAAAACTGGTTTTCTGAAGGTTTTTCACGATCCAATTTTATCTGCAAATAGCAACAACAAAAAATTTAAACTTTTTATGTTTCAACACTAAATATTTCTTTCACATGTCTGTAATTGCCAATAATTTTGCAAGTTCAGTGTTTTAATTAGATTTTTTTTTTTTTGTTTTATTTTTTCTATTTTCTCACCACTCATCAATTAATGGCCCATTTTTCGTTCTTTTTTTTTTTTGCTAGTAATAAAATTTTTATTTTCTGGTGTATGTCATTAAAATTCCAGTACCAAAAAAAACCACTATACTGAGGGATTGTAAAATTTTTGAATTTAATAAGAAAAAAAAGCGAAAAAAAAGAAACATTCAAACCATGGAATAAATTTTGCCAGTATCTTTATCAATACGAAATACTTCTTTGCCATTTATTGCTTTATTAGCGACGATACTGTATTCCAATTTGGCGTTGCTCGTTGCTGGATCATCATTATCTGTTGCCGTCACGGTCATCACATAAACACCATCATCTGTAAAACAAAAATCTGAAAACTATGTCATTGCATAAATTGACCACCAGATTTTAATAGTTCAGGTTTTTCAAAAAGCAAAACAATAATGACTAGTCTTTAAAAAATTTCATAAGTTTTAAATTATACGATTAGTTTTCAGTTGACTTACGGCCTGGATCACGGTTTTCTTCAATTTCACCGTACATGTCACTGGGAAACTGTGGTGCATTGTCGTTGATATCTTCAAGGTTTACCTGAAGTCCGAGAGAAGTAGTTTTTTAACAGTCGGCTAGCCGTCTACTTTAATTTAATTTAAGCAAAAGTGCTGTTTCTTTGCTTTCGTTTTTTTGCAAATCAGTCCGTCATATGACTAATAACCTGAACGTCGGCATAACCAATTAAGCCTTTGCCGTCGTCGTCGATAGCCTGTACAATAAACCTCCAAACTGGGATACCTGGTGGGTCTCGATCTAATGGCAAAACCACTTCAATTTTACCAGTCCTTTTGTCTACGCGAAAATACTCATTGACACCCTGTCCTTCCAGACGATAAATAATCTTTTTTGATGTTTCATCCTTAAAAATCATATTCGGCATAACAAATAAAAATGTTTTCAGCTAGCACTATAAGGTCGCAAATTAGACTACCCTAACATATCAATCATACAGCATCAGCTAAGCTAAGAGTACAAAAACGACAATGATGTGGATGATGAATAAAGAAAAGGCGAACTATTCACCCTATCTTTATCCGTTGCTTTAACCATAAATAAAGTTTTGGGAACATTATGATCTTCTTCCAAAATTGTGGTCTCATATAAACTTTTTTCAAATTCAGGCGCATTATCATTGACGTCTTCAACGTAGATGAACACATCGGTTGTGGTATTATGCTTCCCATCAGTAACAAAAGCTATCATATGATATTCGTTCTCCTGAATTTAACGTTAAAATTTTATCAAATTAAAAATAAGACCTTTCAATGAGTGTTTTTCGCTGGCAGTTTCTAGTTCTTAATTAAATCAAAAGTAAATAAGATCGTGAAACCTTGAAACTTCTTCGCCATAATAAGTCTATAACAACAAAAAATTAATTAAAATCACTATATATACTTTTTCATAGTCTAATGGTTCCTTTACAAAAATAACGCCAGAATCAGTTCTAACTCCAAATGGTATCCGTTCGCCTCTGATGCCGTACAAGTCGTATTTCAGCTTCGAAACTTAATAAAAGGTTCAGTAGTAAACTGTTGAAGTTTTTTCATTACATTTTTTTGCTTCAACATGCGGACTTTATGTATAACTCACAAAACTAAATGATACTTACGACTATCGAGATCATAAGCTTTCAAAGTTATGACATCTTGATTCACTTCCTCGTTTTCCAACACTCTTCCCTCATACCGTTTCTTATCAAAGTACGGTGGATTATCGTTTACGTCAGCCACAAATATTTGCACTTTAACGATATCTAAAAGCCCATCAAAAGCAGTTAACATCTGGAGTGAATATTGCAGTTAAAGTACTTAAACACTGACCGCGGTTTGGACCTTTAATGCCCGGAAGACTCGATTGCAAACTGTCCCGTGCTTCAACATCAAAAATGAACGTATCATTCTTCTCCCTGTCATAAGTGGCTGTTGGATAAATTTTTCCGGTAGTTTCTTCGATTCGAAATAGCCTTTGAATTTCATTATCACCGAGAATTCGGTAACGAACATCAGACTGTGGCCCTGGGGAGTCAGCATCTACTGCCGTTACAACCGTAACTGGTTGATTGTCGTGCCTAAGTTATCAGTATACTATAAAATCTAAAGTTTTTCCCTTCAAAGTTGTAGTACAGTTTTACGCTACAAGATCAACGAATCAATTTTTAGTAGAAAGAAGAAGAACAAAGATCAAAACAGCTTTTTTTCATAAATTAAAACTGTTTCAGTTCTTGTGGTGCAAACATTTCAGGCAAAAAGCAACTGCCTATGCTGACTTTTTCATATATTCTTCAACAGTCTGTTCTTCCTCTACAGTACCGGTAAAGAGGTCAACAGTAAATCGTGGAACATTGTCGTTTTTATCCCGAAGAAAAACTTGAAACTGCTTATCTGACGTAACCGAATTTTGTACATCCTAAAAAATTTTTATTATTGATAATTTGCTCCAAAAAAACCCTCATCTTTTACTCCGTCCCTACAATAACCTTTGTAATACTTCATCTTTTTCCAACGATATTAGTCTGTTTCCTTCATTATAATGTGAAAAAAAAAAAAACGAAAAACAACATACTACTTAAAAAGAATAAACAAAAGAAAAATAATGAAAAAATTTCTTCGAGTTTGATACCATAGCTGTTAAAGTGATGGTAAAATTATTTTGTTTTTCGTAATCGAGTGTATCGTAAGTACGCAAGGAAAACCAGTCTCGACCATTTTCTTTTTCAGCATAAACCCGGAAATACTTGTCCAGGTTTATGCCACGATTAACGGCATTAGTTATTCTGAAGCTTACTTGTTCAAAGTATCATTTAAGATGTAGATCTTATATTTCTTAGTTTCAATGACAGGTCGTATCAGGAAAAAGAAAGCAAAAGCCATCGTTTAATGTCCATGACTTAGAACATTTAAAATTTCCTATGACAATAACAAACAATTAATCCAAGAAACAAAACCTGTAGGAAATCCGATGTTTGGAACCATCACCGGCAATTGCGTGACAACGAATTATGACAGAATTTGTCTAAAAAGTCCTCATGCGAATTAATTAAATAAATTTTCAAAAAATCCCCAGCTTAGAAACAGTTCAAGAAAAAAAAATGCAGTCTGAAAAAAATTTTTTGTCAAAATTGACCTGAATATCTTCATCAACAGTTACAGAATCCTTGCACTGCTCACTGCTTTGCCATTGTGGAGCATTCTGTTGTTTCTCGTGAACTTTTACTGTTACTTGTACAGTACTATTCTGAGGTGGACTACCATTATCAGACGCAACAACGTTAATTATAAAACGATCCGTCTACAAATGTTTTAAAAATGAATACAATTATAACAGTGTTACTGAGTCCTTAAATTATTCATTAAGAATGATCATGATTTTCTTAGAAATTGGATAAAATCATGTACAGGACTACAGGTAAACTAGAAAAAATCATTTACCATCATTGGAATCGCTTTTTTAAGCTTTATTTCGCCAGATTCTTTATGTGCAATTGTGAAGTACTCAATATCTCTTTTATGTGCAAAATCTGCCGAGGGGTCTGGGGCAAGCGAATACGTTATACGAGCGTTCTGCGGAGCATCGCTATCATCAGCAAAAACCGTTACAACAGAATAACTACAAACGGCTTCGATCATTTTTCTGCACTTCTTCCATGTAGAGAAAAAAATATTAAAAACCAACAACAAAAAAAAACATAGTATTTTTCACAACTGGTTTTTTTTGCATACCCAATTGGAGCCGTTTTGGAAATAGAAGTTTCGTAAGAAGCCCGGTCAAACTGAGGCGCATTATCGTTAACATCTTTTACTTGAACCGTAAACTGGCAAAAACCAATTAACGGTGGTTCCCCTTTATCGGTTGCCTAAGATGTCAGTCAACAATTAGTTCCATCACTGAACACTTTTGAACTTGAACTGCATAAAAATAATCATGACTAAGGCTCTTCTTGACAGACATAAAAAAAAAACAGTTTACCTTTACAGTGACCTCTTCGAAAGCCCGCTGTTCACGATCAAATCTGACGTATGGTGACGGTCGGAGTTCACCGGTTACTGGATCAATGATGAATGGTTTTCGCGATTCAGACTGTGGATGATAAAGCGAGTAGACAATCTCACCATTCAACGAAGAGTCCTCATCTGTTGCAGTAACCTACAAAAAAAGTTGCAATATCCAGCGATTGCAGTTACCAGTTTGAACTACGTTGTTGAAATATTTTCTTAAACAATACTAGCGCTTGATTTAAGTTAAACAACATTTTCTAAACAGCAACTTTTACCTTTATAATAACAGGACGGTCTATTTTGTAGTCACCTTCAACGATTTTTGCTCTCTGACTGTAAGATTTACAATCCCGAAATTCTGGTTTATTGTTGTTTACATCAGATATATCTGCAAATTATACTTTTGACCAATTTAACTGATATTAGCAAAAATTAAAAAATTATAATTTAAAAAGAAATTTTAAAAGAATATATTTAGTCTTCCCCCCAAAACAAATAATTTTTTAATTTTGACAAATATACCAATCGAAACTGTGGCTAATGTTTCATGAAGATTGCTAGGTTCAAGACAACAAGAGCCATCGTCAGTGGCGACAACTGTCAGGTTATGAGGAGCCGATGTTCGCTTTAGGTCCTGTGGTGTCGCTGACGGATGCAACTTTATTAAACCTGTGAAAATTTTTTTGTGTCATATTAGTATTTCACCTGATACATCGTAAAATAAATTAAACTTATAAGCAAAAATTAAAAAAATTCCCTTCTTACCTGTATCTTTGTCAATGTCAAAAAGCTCCGCATGACTACTCCTTTGACCATTTGGCAACAAAAACCAATAATAAACCTAAAAAAAGTAACCAAATAAACATTGCCAGTGACTGCAAAAAGTCCCCACTTTATTTTCGTATCAGAATAAAATGTTTAAAAACAGTATTTAATTGTATAGAGCTAGTTAAAATAAGGCTAATCTGCTTTTACCTGATCACGATCTGGATCAAGAGCCTGAACTCGTATTACAGGTGTGCCACCTTGCGCATCTTCTGCGACGAAAGCAGTGTACGAATTCGTTGGAATAAAAACCGGCGGTTCATCATTGGTATTTTCTGTCCGTATTTGAACCTGAAGCATTCGAATTAAGAACAACAAATCTCTTCTGCATAATTATACTATTTCAGCAAATTAAGTTATTAAACAACAAATAGGTAGCACTGACAAAGAAGATATTACCATAGCTTTCGATTTTGACGGTGGATTTCCATTGTCTTTGGCTGTAACATTAAATCTGTAGAAATAGAATCTTTCACGTTTTTGATCAGCATCTAAACGATTTTTTGCACTAATTTCGCCTCGTTCGTTAACCACAAAATTATGGTCATCAACACTGTATAGAACTCGAGAATTTTCTTCACTATCTTTATCGTCTGCATGAACTAAAACAGTACCACAGTTTTGAGAAATACTGATAATAAATAATGCTTTATAGTAATTTTGAAACACCAAATGCTATTAGCAGTAATTGTTTTGTTGCAAATAGTTCACTGTTTTAAAAATGTTTTAGCTATTTAACACCATTAATTCGATATGTATCGTAACTGCAGCTAAAATATTGTTAGATTAAAGTCTAACAGAAGAAGTGATAAACTGTGTTATAAAAGTGAAGATGTAAACTGACCAGTAATAATAGTTTTACCAACTGGAATATCTTCTTTTACTGTTGCAGTATACAAGATTTGGGTAAAAATTGGTCTATTATCGTTAACATCTTTGACTCGAATTTCTAACGGTACACTACTTTCTTTACCATCTTCTTGAGCCGCAACTAAATAGAAAAAAAAAGATCATTAGGGTCTGTCCCAAAAATTTACTGGCATTCAAGAGGACCTATCAGTACAACAAAAATAAGATTAAGTTACCGTAAAAATCAGTTATTTTGAATTCTCTCACTAACAGATTATAGTTCTTTTTGCCTGTTCTTCAATAACTTTGTAATTTTGAGTTTTATGTGTAATAAAGAATTAATCTTAAATGCTGTAACTTTTAGCTTCCTCTATAGTAAATAATGCTATAATTAAAAAATTTTTTCGATTGTGGTTGACCAAATTTTCCCAAAGACGGTATTAGAGTTTTCATGGAATCCTTTGAAGAACAAAATTTTACACAAGCAGCACTGTTGTACGGTTATGATTTGTATTCCTCTTATGCCTTTTTTTGTTGTGTTAACAGATATTATTTTCTTCTTTTCTCAAAGTCATGCAAAATAAATGAACTTACGACCAGACAAAGAAAAGATTGGAAATTTGAATGAATGCTTCTGCTTTCTTTTCTTTAAATATCATTTATGCTTTGCAAAAAAAAAAAATTTTTTTTTGCACTATCATATTGCTGTGCTGATCAGTTCCAGGCTGTTCAAGTTAGAAACATGTTCAAAAAGTGCTTAGAATTTAGCAAAGAAAAAAAACACCGGTGATCAGCATATCCAAAAAAAAATTAGTCGTCAAGAGCAACACGGCAACAGATCCTCCATGCTTATTTGTTTTTACTCCTTTTTTTTTCGATTTCTACTGCTGCTGCTGCTGCTGATGCCATGGCTGTTGTTTAAAACATAGATTTCAATTTGGTGGCCATGTCATAGCCGGCACGCAATCTCCCCAACAAAACAAAACACTTCGAAATTGAATATCATAATCTCATAAGCGTAACTCATAAAATTTTAAATAAATTTGATTGGAATTTTTTATTTTTTTAAACTATTTTTTCACTCCTTTTACTAAATTTCCTTCCCCCCTTCTTCTTTTACCACTCAAAGTAATTAAAGTAAAGAGAAAAGAAAACGGAAAAGAGTGGCATAAAATTAAGTGGCAACATTTTTGACGTATTAAATACGCGCGATAAGATCAACCCTGTAAGTAAACCTAAGATTACTAATGGCAAAAATGGAAATTAGATTTTGATGAAATTTATTGAACAAAATGCTCTATAGAAAATGCATTGTTGATATCAGCAAAATAACACCAGCAGCAACAGCAACCAATAATATAATAATAATAGTATTGAGAACAACAGTAGCTGTAGCTGCAACTATAAATTTATCACGCCATCATCATACCTCTTAATCGGTGCACCTTCATCTGAGTACGATCATCATAGTCTAACTCTTTCATCAGAATGACATCACCAGTTTTTTCATTGATGGTAAAAAATTCGGAACGTTCCTGTAACTCGTCGTCGTTATCAATGTACAAATGATAGGTCAATTCACTTTTTTGTCTTTTTGAATCTATTGGCGGAAAACTGTTGGCACGAACATCAACCACTCTGAAATATCTCTGATTTTTAATTGACAAAATTTTTTTGTTCTTTTTGACTTCATTTTTCAGCTTTAGTCAATCCAAAGAATCTCTGACATACCAGAAATGTGATGCCTAAAATAATTCAGTAAGCAAATAGAAGATCAACAGTAAAAAAGAAAATAAAGGAAGTTTAGAGAAAACATATTACTTTTTTCCAATTTTTGTATTTTCCGGTAATTCCACAAAATAATGTTGCTTCAAAAACTGTGGTGCTCGATCGCCAGCATAAATTTCCAGCATTGCAACCTCACTGTTCTAAACATAGTTGAAGCATTTGTTAAACTGCTCTGATAATTTAACTATTAATGAAAGAGTGATAAAAAAAAGAACAGTAAAATAAAAAACGATAAAAAATTGCACGAATCAAATTAAAGCTTCTGAAAACAACTATGCTTATTTTTTAGAGCACTTCATTTCTATAGAAAACCTGTGAATTGTTCAAGTTTTTCGGAGACCGATCACTGGCTTGGACATAAACGCGATATGTTTTGCCAGGTTTATAGTTCCTAATTGCAGTTCGAACAATACCGGTCCCCGAGTCGACAGTAAATGTTCCAGGTGCTGAAAAAAAACTTTTTAATACCACCAAGTCATCGATGCAATTCAGCAAAAGTACTACATAGGTGACTATTAAGCAGATTTATTCTTTGCAAAATGAGCTTTAAAACTGATCATCAGCAAAACAACAATTTATAAAATCGCTAACGTTCAGAGTTGATAAACCGATATTCCACATTGTTCCCACCTTGTCCACCCTCGTCACGAGCATAAAACTAAAAATTTTTCAACGCTAATTGGCAGTCATAAATTAGCCGGACAAATAATTTGTTTTCTGTTTTATTGTACAAAATTGCAACTGTACAATAGCTGAGTATGTTATGTTAAGAGTAAATTTTTTTGGTACTATATACCTGATAAATTTGATACCCAATCGGAACCGTGTATGGAACAACTGCCAAATAAGGTTTAGGACCATTCTGGAATACTGGTGGCTCATCGACGTCGACCACATTAATTCGTACATTTTGGAAACGCTCAGGGTTGTATGTGCCTGTAAGGGCAACGCTGTTTGTCAAAGTTTTACCTTCATATTTAAAAAAAATTAAAACGTTTGGAGTGCCAATGTTAAAAAAAACTTTTTCCCTTTTTATTTTGAAGCAGTTTTATGACTTTTAAACATTAGATTTATAACTTCTCTATTAGTTAGTTGTTGGTTTGCAATTCATTTGTCCCATTGTAAACATCTAAGTTTTTCTACTTTTGCAGTAGAAGAAATTAGCATTTACCATTTGAAGTTAACAATTGCTTAATCACTTTGATACACACAAACCACAAACGGTACAACAGTTTTTAGTTTTCCCACGAGTATATCAACCATAACAACACTAAATAACAGGCAATTTGGTTGCCCTAATCGTTGTTCTTATTGTTGTCTGAGAAGCACAAAACTCTCCAGTCTGTGGTGTCACATCAAAAATTAGTTTTAAGCTTAAAATCCTTCTACAAATAGCGGCAGATGCTATAAAATTGTTGATTGATGATCAATGCTTTCTACTGTTCAATCAGTCCGTTTGGCTTAATGAACACTTTTATTCTATTTAAAATTGTTAGCAATTGTGTCTCTGTAGTATTTGCTGTAAAAGTCAAAAAAATTTAATAGTGAAACTATATAAATGACAAAAAAACTTGACTTAGAAATAGTAGAAAAAAATTATCACTTTTTAACTGCTTAAAAGTTCCCAAAAATAGACTTAAATAACCAAAGAAATGCCACGGATTTAGTGTCCAGCCTAAATTATCGGCATTTCAAAAGCTTCGTCACGCAACACGCTTCATAATTAGCAACTTTTGTACCCTTTGCTACCCTTTGCTTTTCATTTTCTCTCTTCCTTCCATCCTCTACTCTCTTCAAACAAAAAGACAAAGATTAATTCATAACTCCACCTTGCAGCAGATTAATAAGCCAATTTTTAGTCCCTTTATCCCTTAAAATTAACCCCAACCTAAAAAAAAAAAGAAATTGCCTAACCATATTCATTTATCTATAATCCTTTTTTTGGCCGATTTCAAATAATAGGTTGTTGAATAAAACAAAGAAAAGGCTTTAACGCTAAAAGAGCAACAACGTTAAGTGGAAAATTTGCAGCTTGAAATTTAGCATTGCTTATATACATATCCATATAACACATATATTATCAATGACGAGTTTTAAGCGTTTTTCAAATCAAATTTTAACTGCTTTTTGGACGCTTTTGTTGACATACTTCAAAAGAAGTTGTTATCACGTCGGTTATTATCCTTAGTTGCCGTCCAGCAGTTCCTATTCTTTGATCAAAATTTAAGAGAGGTTCAAACAAGAACAATAAGTTGAATTTTTAGCTGCTCAGTAATTTTAGTGTTTGTAGTAATGTGTGGTACTTATATTAAAGCGGCTTCCAACAGAGAAATATATAGTTTTCGGCTTCCAGAATAAAACTGAGTAACAGAAAAGGAGAAAACAATAATTTTCTTTTTTTACGACATTCTTTTCACGCCTTTTGTCTGCTTAAATTTCAAAAAAAAAAAAAATCTACACTAAGTTGTCCTCTTCCAAAACCCCCCCAATATATGAATGTTATTGACAGGATAGTCTATGGATAGATTCTATTTACTAGGAAAAACACATATCCTCACCGCTACTAGGCGCATATCATCATTACTGACCGGCAACATGCAACACAACTAATGTTTAATTTTTAATGCAATACAAATCTTTTTTTTTCTTTCCTCGCCAGAAAATAAATATGTAATTTGGAGAAAGAAGCAAAAAAAAAATTTCTTTTCCTATAAAATACTCTTTCCGTTTCGGAAAAGAAAGTGTTTGACGTCCTCCGCACTCGAGAACGTTACACAATTCAGTAGCCGCCAACACGAACGTTGTTTACTTCATTTTTCAACAAGACTCTTTGATGTATCATTATTGTCAATGTGCGTCTTGCTTTTTCTTCATCCACCCATCTGATGAAAATTCAAACATACTTTTGGCTACAAAAAAAAAGGAAAAGAAAATTCTAAACAATAACAGCTAAATTTCTTCTTCGTCCTTCAAATCTAGACATTAATTTCACTTCTTCTTCTTCGTTTTCTTCTACTACTACTTCTTCTTTTCATTGGCCTGCAATCAATTCTCACTTTCGTAATCAGCCACAATACTGGTAATGATTATAAAATTATAAAGCCAGAAAAAGAAGCTAAACCAAAAATAAGACTGCTGATAATTACGAAAACTTTCAAAAGATCTCACTGAAAAAATTGAAAAACAGAAAAAACAATGAATCTACGACCAGAATAATATTATAACCAAGTTTCAATCTTTGTATCTTCTCAGAAACGTCTCTGCACTAAAAAACTGGAACACTGTTATCACCTTCAAGAATCTGAATACAGTAGAAGAAGAGAAAAAAAAAAATGCCGCTTAGAATTCAAAGCAAACCAATGAATCAGTTTCATTGTCATCATTGTGTAACAGATAAGACAATGGCTCGTTTGTTTTTCAGTAAACTCAATAGAAACATCACTCCATTAACCTCTAATCTTCAAATATCTCACTAAAAACCACAAGCAGATCCCATTAATCACATCTAAACAGTGATATTCTCCATTCAAACAATGAACTCCTTAAAATGTCTCATAAAGCATTTGAAAAACACACAACACACATACACTCTTCACACACATACACAAAAAATACTGCAAATAAAGATTCAGTGCAGTTATCTGAACGGCAACAGTCTACCAAGATTTGTTGCTATTGTAGATAGCAGTAATAAAGAGCCCATAAATTTTACAGAACAAAACTAATCCACCGTTATAAGGTACACCGTCTTTACTACAGTAAACTGGTCCATTTGATGAAAGAATATGATTACAACTGAACATTTAATGATTCAAAACTCAATACCAAAATCAGTTAAGATTTCTTGTAAATTTTATATTATCCCTAAAAATAAATATTCTTACACTTCTTTTTTGTTTCTTTTGATTTCTGGTTTGCCATATGGTTTATGAATAGAGAGCAATTACTGCTGACACAAAAACAATAAACGTAATTTAATGCTTTGACTTGCCAAAAAAAAAAAACCACAACGTATAAAGACAGTTTCATTCAGCAAAAAATAATATACAGAGGGAAAAGGAAGGAAGAGGAAGCAACAGGGAAAGGTAAAGGAAGAGAGGGAGAGAAAGTTCAGTACAAAAAGAAAATATAGCGCTACAATATGTGAAAGCATCTTAGAAAGTCAAAACGTCAAAATAAACAATGAGAAAATTACAGTAACTGTATTGTATTTTTTCAGTGACTACAAATTTTGCTGCAGATCAAATTTTTTTTTTCCACTTCTTTTTTTATTTTTCGTTCTTGCAAACC